CCTCCTCTCTCTCTCTCTCTCTCTCTCTCTACCAAATTCCTTCTCCTCCGCTCTTCCCCGCCTTCATTTGCATAATATCCCTTTTTTGATCCTCGCCACACTAACGAGCCTACATTCAACCCTCGTTCCTACGCAAACGTGTCCTTCCACTTTTCGTCCTTTTGTCGTCGAATGGGAAAACGCGTAGATTTAACGCGGTAGGCACGAACGGTGGTTCCTTTCCCCTTCCTCTCTTTCGAATCTCTACTGTCCTTCGTTTTTTTTTTTTTTATTTTGGAAATAAAATTTAATATCAGGTTAGAGTTTAGGGAACAAACCTTGAAGAGGATCGCGATTCCGATGGCGACGCCGGTATAACCGCTGCCGACGATTACGATTTTAACGCGATGCCCATCCACGAAATCTTCCGGCTGCTTGGTGAGCAGAAACGTTGTCGTGTTCCAGGCGGTGTCGAGCAACTTCTTCTTGGGCACGGACATGGTCAACGATACTCACGAGTCGGGTGTAACATCCCGGGAGGGGGGGGATTTTCGATCGAGTCGAAAACAGATCGGTGGAAATCTGGTATATATATCTAGAAATACTCTGTAAATTTCGTCAATTCCATCAAGATCAAACAACAAAAGTGACAGTCAAACGTTCTTCGTCGATCCTTTGATCCGAAGTTGGCCGCTCGCGGCCACCAAACGTTTCGCGCTATATCGAGATAAAAGATGGAAAGATTCGAAAGGTATGGTGGAGGATTTTCGAAAAAATTTCTCTCTACTATCCAGCTCTCGATAGCGATGAAATCGATGGACAGCTGTCGAATCGGAAACAGATGGGATACACGCGAATTTCAATTTCCGCTCACACGAGAGCGGAGGTCCGATATTTGAGATCCGCTACGAATATTAAATTGCCCGATATCACCTTCCTTCCTTCCTTCCTTCCTTCCTTCCTTCTTTTCTCTCTCGTTATTCTACCATACGACATCGTCTTGTTTTCCCCGAATATCGCGAAGAGAAAAAACACGAAGGACGGACGAACGAGGAAGGAAGAAGACGAGATGAGAAAAAAGAAAAAAAAAAAAAAACGACAACTTCGTTGGCGTAATAAATCAGGTGCAAGGCTGTCCGAAACATGTTCGCAACGCGTTCTCGATCTTCGTTTGGCGAGGATGCATCGCATCGCGTGATCGACGCGCGGATGATCCATCGACAAACGCCGCGAATAGCTCGTAATACGACTGGAACGATCGTTGGAGGGGGGCGCGATTAGTTTTCTAGGAAGTCGATTCCTCTACTGTCATTTATTACTATCACCGATCGAGTATACAGAGAAGAAGAACCGGTCGCGCACGCTCGTTATCGATCAACACGCCTTCTAAAATTGCCGCGCAATTTCCGGTAGCACCTTCCTCTCTCCTCTCCTCTCCTCTCCTCTCCTTCTCTCTCACTGCTCCGCCTCGTTGTTGGTCTCCTGAAGGATGCCGGACTCCCGCAAAATGTTTCGAATGTTGTCGGCGCACGTCTGCACCGCGGCTTTCTCCTGCTCGGTCAATTTTTGCCGCACCGTGCAGTAGACACCCTCGCGGCCGATCACGCAGGGCACGGACATGTACACGTCCTTGTCCGTACCGTGGGCGCAACTCTGTGAACGGAGGAAGGGGGGAAAAGCGAAGACGATAAATGGATAGCAGGGTAAGGAGAATTTTCCCTCCCTCTCCTCTTTTTTCTTCCCTTCGACTTACGAGAATGTGGGTCGACGCGGGGAGCACGACCTTGGTGTTCCTAACGATCGCGTCGACGATCTCGGTCGTGGAAATGGCTACGCCCCAGCAACACGATCCTTTCTTCTCCTCGAGTTCCTTCCCGCTGAAACGAGCGCGCGAAATTAGCTTAAACGTTGCTTGCCCCTTGCTCCACTCGCGTGCAACCATCACTCACACGCTCTTCACGTTCTCCTCGATCTCGTACCACTTCTCGGGGTCGTCCTGTTCCCCTATCCTCGAATTTATGTCCCGAAGTTTCATTCCGCCCACGGAGATGCTCGACCAAAGAGGAACTGCGAAAGAAGAAGGGATAGGGGGCGTTCGAGAAAAGGGGGGAGGGGAGGGGGAAAAAAGGAATACCGGCCATGTCTCCTTGAGCGCCGATCGTCATACAACTGACCGAGCTTCGCGCCACGTTCAATCGTCTGCTCACGAAATCTTGAAGCCTGGCGCACTCGATCAGGGTGCCGATGCCGAGCACGCGGTTCGAGGGGAATCCCGACAATTTCCACGCGATGTAGGACATCACGTCCGCGGGCCGCGTCACGATCAACAGCACCGATTTCGCCGCGAATCTCGCTATGGCCGGTATGATCTTCTTGAACACTTTCAAATTGTGCTTCACGTTCTGATTCTCGCCCGGCTGCGTCTCAGGCGTGCAAATTATCACCACCGCCGATTCCTTCACCGTGCTGATCTCTGCCCATTATTGTTCGAAATAAATGTCTTTTTAAAAAAACGAGGATAGTAACTTATTCGTTTTCCAACACCGTTCTCTCGAACAATTTCAACGATCGAGATCGCGACAACAAATCGCTAATAGGAAAAATCGAATTGATAAAAATATCGTCTCGTCGCGTCGAGAAGAATTCCATGGAAAAAGAGAAATCTCGTAAATTCGAACGAATGGTTATGCGAATCACGTTCCACTCGAACCGAGATAGAAGGATAGGGAAGAAAGGCATCCCTTTCTCTGGAAATCTTTCCTCCGTTTGGGAACGTAACTCGGTTCGGTATAATAAAGCCATCGGAAGCTGGTCGAATACAAAACGTTTGCACGAAAGGGAATCGAACTCCTTTGTCCTTTGTTGAGAGATGCGCCGATAACGGAATAGAACGAGAGGCATCGATTTTAGGTAACACGTTTGCATCGCGAGCGAGATAGATTGTTACTCACCGACAAGTTGCGAAAGAAAACACCTTGCATTTTTTTTATCGAATCGAAGCTTCGAAAGAAAGCTTTCAGGATTCCGAGACTCTTCTCTCTCGCCGCGAGTGGACGAAAGGGGAACGGCGCAGAGGCAAAAGAAGAAGAAGAAGAAGAAGAGGAAAGAAAAAAAATATATCGTGGAGTCGATCGTGGTCGAGATAAATAAGAGTGGCAGGAAATTTACGAGTCGACTGGTGAAAAGCTCGGGGAAACGCTCGACGAGGAGACGACCGCGTGTAAGCACGCGGCGATGTAGATGAGCGACGAGATTAAAGGACAGGGCCAAGGGGAGGAGAGAAGAAGGATCTCGAAACCTCTACCGGTCCCAAAAATTCGTTCCTCCCTTCCCCTTTCGGCGAGGAACCCGGACCCGTTCTTTCCAACCCGTTGCACGTCCACGAGTGTTTCTCGTTTCCAACCATTTCTGGAATTTCGAATTTCCGCCACGGATTTGTCCATCTTGTCCATTTCCACGGAATGGAAAGTTATCGATCGAGGATTTTAAAATGGTTGCACGTTGTATATTCGAAGGCAAGGAAGGGGGGAAAAGTCATTGGAATAAAAGTATATGTATATATATATAGTATAGTTGCGATGGTCGAGTACCTGACGTGCCAGTTACCAGTGGACATCCCAAAAAAAAGCCGACGTGTTGAATATCCTCGGCCTCGGCGGAAGCCTTGTTCGCGTCGTGGTCGATCAGGCAGACCTCGCTCGCTATCCTCTAAAGATCGGAGGTTCGGAATCAGACGAGGTTCGGACGAGAGCAGCGGCATCGCGATACTAACTCTCATCAGGATCGCGATGGCGCAGGCGATCCCGATCTTCCCTACTCCGACGATCGACACCTTGACGCGATGCGGGTAAACGTCGCAAGGATCCAACTGGGTCGTTATCAATGCGTTCTTCGTCGTGGTCGTGATCGGTGCATCCTCCTGTGCGCATCACGGATCTTTCACACCTTTCCCCCCCTACTTGTTACTTTTTCCTCGTTTCGAGGAAAAGGTCGTTAAGAGAAAGTCGTTTCGAGTCGAAATAACGTACATCGTCGCACTCGATGGATTTGACATCGGGCTCAGGCTCGCTCTTCGCTTCCGTCTCTTCCATTTCGCCGCGGATCTGGAACGGAAAGGAACGCGCCCGTCTAAAATTCGATCCTCGATTTTCACGAATCGTTGTATCCACTCACCGATCGGTTCACGCAAGGAGGGGGGACGCGGCGAGTCGGCAGCTACGTCCATCCACGTCACGGATCGTCGAGGTGTTGTCCCTTCTTCAGCTCTCGCCGAAACGACGAGTAGGCGGGGGATCCGGATCAACCTACGCAGCCAAGCACACCGAGTCTCTCTCTCTCTCTCTCTCTCGTATTCTCTTCGTATTTCAGCCTAATCGCGATAACCCGTTACGAGGAAGAAACTCGAAGAGGAGGAGGAGGAGGAAGAAGAGGGGGCGGGGAATAACGACGGAAGTTATCCGCGCGGCTCGCTGTAAATTAGCCGCAGGTAGTCGCCCCGGGAGCGCAGGTACATCGTACACCGGATTGTTCGTATATTTCTGCCGATGCCCACGCGCTCCCTTCGTGTAAAATACATTATTTTCGTGCGTCGATCGCGGAACCACCGTCCTCCCCCGTGCGTTATCGACGGATCCCAAAAAGTTTCTCGTCTCGTCTCTTCGCATCGTGAATAAGATGAACATTGGCAACGCTCGACGCGATAGTTTCTCGCGTAACCCAACAGTTTACACGTGCGAGCAATTTCGGATCCGAGCGCTCGAACCCTCGTCTCGTTTACTCCCGATCCCCCTTCGATAAATTATTCGCTTCCTGCTTGGCTCTTCTTCGAGTAGAGGACACGGTGAGAGGAAGGCGAAGAAAGAGGAATAAAGGAGGAAGAAGGGGCTACTGGTGGAGGCTACCTAACGCGTTCAATTTTAATCGTTCGTAAGCGCCGATCGATATTGCGAATACCGAATTTCGTGCGAAACGAAAATCTCGCCGATCGATCGATCTTCCTTTTGCTCGACTCGTGTCGACGCGGACGGAAAAACGCAACGGCGAGGAAGTAATTTAAAGCTTGGCGTTTATAGTTGGATAAGCGTGTGGGATACGATCGATCATCAAGTAAAACTCTTATCATGAGTTGGTCCATTTACCACATCATCAGAAACGATCGACCTAAACTCGTTAGGTTATACAGAGAGCGAGATCGAAAAGAAGAAGGAAGGAAGGAAGGAAGGAAGGAAGGAAAAATACGAGGAAAGGAGGGACAACGAACGTCGAGTGGCATAACAATTTATGATTAATCGGCGTGGAAATAGGGGAACGGTTTTTTTTTTAATTAACCGCCGCGGAAACGCGGTGGACAGCGGGAGAGAATCGTCGGCGATCGGTCGCGATAACGACGTCTCCTCCTCCTCCTCCTCTCTCTCTCTCTCTCTCTCTCTCTCTCTCTCT